TACTCCCCTTCCTTCACAATGATACGATTTTTTTGTTCTAGAAATTTTATTACATTGTTTGAATGTAAACATTTTCTTTGGTAAAACAAAAGAACGGTCGTTCATTTTTCTGTTAAAACTTACCTCCTAGAGGTCCTGGTGTAGGGAAAATGTTATTAGGTCTGGACATTAGAGAATTCTTTGTAGTAAGATTCTGAATGTGTTATATATAATGGATGTTATCCAGAGTAGTATATGCAATGCAAGAAATAACACATTTGCTTTTCTAAAATTTCCTTTCTTTTGTGGGAGGGGGGCTTTATAGCCGTGCACAAGGTCTTATATTTTATTTGTTGACCTCTATAAAAGTAAATTTGTTTCTGCTGGCTTCTGCCCAGTTAACGGGCCTACTTCAGTTAAGATGAAAAACTTGAAAACACGGCGCTCGCTGTTAACATGTTGTATATTTGTTATCAGGAGCACCTGTTGGAGCGTAAGGCAGGGCATGGATTCAGTGAGTGCAGTCCCCTGTGTTAGTCTGCGTCTTCCATATGGTGGCAGAGCAAAGCGATTTCCCGTGCTCTGCTTAGAACCAAGGCACTGCCCGAGAGTGGCTTTCCTCTCATCCTCCCTAGTTCTACAGATCATTGAGCATTGCTTGTCAGAAAGTGTATGTGAAGACATTCTTAGGAAGTGCATTCTCATGTTCCTATTAGTTGAGTACCTTGTGTGGTGAATCGAGTGTATTTAAAATAAAAACAGTCCTATTTATTTAATCACTGCACTTGTGACATTTGTAGGCGAAACTTAACCAAACTGTCGCTGATCTTCAGCCACATGCTGGCAGAACTGAAAGGGATCTTTCCAAGTGGACTTTTTCAAGGAGACACATTTCGGATTACGAAAGCAGATGCTGCTGAATTTTGGAGGAAAGCTTTTGGAGAAAAGTAAGTCTCTGCAATAAATTGGAACTATGAAAAGCCAAAGCATGTGTTATGGGGTGTTTTGTTTGTTTGTTTCTATTTTTACTAATATTTAAAACGTGGGAAACCATAGCGGCAAACGATGAACATGTGTACACCCACACCTCCTCAGCTTTGGGAAATAGTAACCTTTTTTTTTTTTGCCCTCATTTTTTCATTTTCATTAAAGAAATAAAGCTGTGCATATTCCATTGAAACCTATGTTCTTGAATTAAATTCCCTCTCCATTTGTTTTGTTCATAGATGTTTACATTTGAAATTCTTTGTATTCACAAACAGTGCTGGGGTATCAGTGTGATAGCTGCCTTCCTCTGCCCTTGCAGAAGCATTTCTCCTTACCTGCCTAGGAGTGGAATTGCTGAGCTTCACATCTTCTGCTGTGCTACATGCCTATTTGCTTTCCCAAGTGGTTACACCAGTTTCTTTTCTTTTTAAATAGTTTTACTGGCGTGTAATTCATCTATCATATAATTTAATCAATCATTGTGCAGTCATCACTAGAATAATTTCAGAACATTTTCTTTCTTCTCGTGCTCGTTGGGAGCTCCCCCAGTGTACACTTGTATAAGTAGTGTTCCAGTAGCTCCACAGTTTGGCCAACATTAGTAATATGAATTGGTACCATATTTTGCTTTATATTTTACATTCTCTGACGATAGGGGAAGGTGAGTACTTTTTACATTTATGATCAATACAAAGTCTTATTCTGGCTTACATTTTGCTGTTCTTTGTCCATTTTCTCAATGAGCTTTTTTTCTTTTTCCTATTGGAAGAGTTTGCATATGACCTAGATCAGTGGTTCTCAACCTTCCTAATGCTGCAACCCTTTCATACAGTTCCTGATGTTGTGGTGACACCCCCAATCATAAAATTATTTTCGTTTCTACTTCATCACTGTCATTTTACTACTGTTATGAATCAGGAGATCCCTGTGAAAGGTTCTTTCGACCCCCAAAGGGGTTGCGACCCACAGGTTGAGAACCGCTGTTCTAGATACTAGTTCTCCATTAGTTACATACATTACAACTATCTTCTCCTGCTTTATGCCTTTTCTTTCCGCTTTGTTATGCTGTACCCATCTTTAAAACAGACTTAATAGTGAAGCTTACGTTTTAAGTATTCATGAAAATATTCTTACAAATTTTGGTTGAAAGACCTGAAAAGGCAGAAGGCAGTAAAACTTTTATTTTGACTATATAGATGCTTAGATCTCTCTCTAAAACTCATCAAACCAAACTCCCCGCCGTTGAATCGATTCCAGCTCCCAGCAACCGGCAGGACCGGGCAGAACTGCCTCAGCGGATTCGTTAGGGGAGCAGGAAGCGGTAGCTCTCTCCTTTCTCACTGTTGGCCTCCCATTTATCAGTCCAGCTCTTAACTCACAGTGCCACCCCTAGGGCTCCTTCAGTCCCTCTCTACAGGCCGTCCTTATTTCAAAGAAAAAACAAAATTAGAGAATTGTCTAATTATAAAATAATGCATAATTGGCAAATTAAAAAGCCTACTTGAAGAAAACTGAGATGTGTTTAAATTTGTTGCTTTAACTTAGTAACTAATTATATTAGAAATGACTTAAAGATGTTAGTCTATTTTCAAGCAGACTATTTAAAATCTCAAGAAATTGAAATTCCATAGTATCCCTTACTAGCCTTATTTGGTGTTTAATTACTCTTATGTTAAACTTCTCCTGTACTGTTTTTTAGTTTTACAAACTCACTGCCATCGGGTAGATAACTACTCATAATGATCCTCTAGGACAGCGGTTCTCAACCTGTGGGTCTCGACCCCCTGAGGGTGTCAAATGACCCTTTCACAGAGGTCGCGTGATTCATAACAGTAGCAAAATGACAGTGATGAAGTAGCAAAGAAAATAATGTTATGGTTGGGGGTCACCACCACATGAGGAGCTGCATGAAATGGTGGTGGCATTAGGAAGGCTCTTGGACAAAGTAGGACTGCTCCTTAGAATTCCCGCGGCTGTAAATCTTTATGGGAGTAAGTAGACAGCACTCTTGTCTCCCTCAGAGCCCCATCCATATCTCTTGGAGCAGCTGGTGAATTGTCCTCAGTGTCTTAGACTGGGTTCTCTAAACCACTGCCATTAGTCATTTCTGACTCTAGTACAGAGTAGAACTGCCCTTTGGTTTTTCGAGGCTGTAAATATTTATGGGCATGGACAGCTTCATCTTTCTCCAGTGATAGGTTCTAACTACTGGCCTTGAAGTTAGCAGCCCAAAGTGTAACCCAAAGCCACCAGGACTGGGTTCTCTAGAGAAGCAAACACAGAACCCTCACTCTCACACGTCCCAAATGCTTCATTTCATTTACCTCTCCAGGCGTCTCTGCCTTCTCCTTCGGGCGTGTTGTAAGAGTTTAAGAATACAACAGCATTAGTGAGGAAGTAGGCATTGGGCCCACCCAGTGGCAGTAGGTTTTGTTGTTGTT